GCCCCGGCGCCGCTTTGCCCCCCGCCGCCTCTCCGTCGAGCCGTCCGCCGCCGCCCGTCGCCGCTCCGCCCCCTGGTGATGTTCTGCCCTTTATTTTTTTTCTTTTTTCCTTGCTGTTTTAGTTGATTTAGTTTCGTTAGGTTATATAGTTGATTTAGGTTAGTTGATTTAGGTTAGTTGCTTTAGGTTAGTTGATTTAGGTTAGTTGATTTAGTTGCTTTAGGTTAGTAGATTTAATTGATTTAGGTTAGTTGATTTAGTTGCTTTAGGTTAGTACATTTAGTTGCTTTAGGTTAGTTTATTTAGGTTAGTTGATTTAGTTGCTTTAGGTTAATTAGTATATTTAGTTGCTTTAGGTTAGTTGATTTAGGTTAGTTGATTTAGTTGCTTTAGGTTAGTAGATTTAGTTGCTTTAATTAGGTTAGTAGATTTAGTTTCTTTAATTAGGTTAGTAGATTGTATATTGTAGGTTAGTAGATTTTAGGTTAGATTTTAGGTTAGTTTTTTATATTAAGAAGAAAAGAAGAAAAAGTAGAAGTGAAGAGGAAAAAGGAAAATAAGGAAAACGAAGAAGAAAAAGAAGACAAGATGAAGAAGGAAAAGAAGGAAGAAGAAGAAAAAGAAAGATCGAGGGGGAAAGGAGTTTATTTTAGGTTAATTTAGTTTAGTTTAGGTAGCTAGGTTAGTTTCTAGGTTAGTTAGGTTAGGTTAGTTATCTTTAGACTAGGTTAGGTTAGTTTCTAGGTTAGTCAGGTTAGGTTAGTTATCTCTAGAATAAGTAGAAGGTGTTAGTTAGGTTAGTATACATGCATGTGCATGCATGGAGGACAAGTCTGGTCGAACAACGTGATGACTATGCAAGACAACTAAGCTAGTACACTACTTGTTTCTTGATCGCAAAGCAAAAGTGAACACTTGATAACGGCCGGTACAGCCCAAAACAGTGACCGGCCACGACAAGAAGAACACTGTACCACTCAAAGTCCACGCTTAATGCAAGAAACAGATCATGTGTTTGGTTGCTCGCATAAAAATGCCCTGTTTAATAGCATGGAACAATAAAAAAATATTGATACGTTGGAGACGTATCGGTAGCATGGCCAGCTACAAGGAGTCATGTTGAAGGTGGAGATGGAGTCTGATGGACGACTTCACTCTGAGCTGATGAATGGGCTACGACGTAAGTTAACGGAGAGTCGAAGCCTATTTCAGCGGGATAGCAAGAGACACGTGGATCGGACTGGGTACCAGTGGTCTGATGGAGATGTGATACTCGACATCGGTCGGTGATGATCGGTGGTTCTCTGCAGTGGGGGTTGAGGCAGTGTGGGCTAGCTACCCGGGAGACTCGACCAGGACAGCGGATGCTCGACGCGGTGATAGTGGCAAAACGTGCAGTAAGCACGGGACACAATGACAGGCCAAGGCACTGGTGGTCAGACATGTTGTCAGACAAATCGTGCAGGGGGTGCTGAAGCAGTGTTGACGAGTATCGGACTCAAGTTGGTGACTGGGTCTATCTGTGACGGAAGATGGACAAGAGTTGACAATGGATAATCTGAGAAAGTGGCGGAGAGTCTGAAATTGTCAAAAGTTGAAAGAGTACATGGCCGTATATTTTGTGGTGTTCAGTGCACATGGCAAAATGCGGATGACAAATATAGAAGGAGGCGGAGTGCTATAGCTGTGGGACATGGCAGAGACTATCCGGAAGAAGGGTGAGACAACTGCAAATTTGACTCAGGGTGACACGGGGCGACGGTGAAATTCCCTCAAGTTTCAGACAAGCAGTCAAGAAAGAGCGGTGACGTTGAGTTCAGATAACTCTTATATGTGGCGTCCAATATGTGAGTTATTCACTTTCACGCAGATTTGTTATCGGTGTGTGATGTGATTGGACAGATACTCCGGAAGTTGGGAGCACAAGGTAGAGTAACGAGGAACTTAATTTTGCTCGAGTGTTGACTGTGAAGAAGACGAGAAGGGACTACAGTTGCATGTGGAGTCACATGGAGTCTTGGAGTAGTATCGGTGCTCATGGCATATCTCAAGTACAATGTACATGGAGGTTCGGCGCATGGATGAATTCAAGGTAGTGAAGAATATTCGCCAAGGTAAAGTTTGTTAGAGTTGTGTCGAATATTATTGTACAAGGTAGGTTACAGTTGGACTTGGTTTTGGACTGTGTGTAGACAGGGTAGGAGTTGCGTCCTAATAGGATACTTGTATCCTAGGGCTCTCATATATAGCGGGGGTAGACACACGATGTAACCTATGCCAACATAATAGCACGGGCACGCGGGGGAGCTGGCGGCGTGTGCCGGCGCCTGGGCGACCGTGGTGCGATATTGTAGTGGTGTCATGCGGAGGAGCGCCCGTAGTCATGCCCCGGGGATGTAGCCATGATGATGAACCTTGTTAACAAATCTCCGTGTCGTGCCTTGCGTGATTTCTTGGTCCTCGGTAGATCGACTGAGATGCAATTTATTTCTGGTTTATGGGTATGTAGGGACGCACATGATCAACGATTTCACCAATCTCCCTCTCTATCCCTCATACATGGTATCAGCCTGGGCAAGGAAGTAGAGGTGTCGCCGCCACCCCTTTCCTCGACCCTCTCCCTCCTGATCTCCTCCCTCCCGATCCCTTCCCTCCCAATCCGATTTAGGGCTTCGAGCCGCCAATGTACCTCTCCTCGCTGCTGCCGGATGGGTGTGCTTGATGATGGAGGAGGTCACCCATGGGTGTGCTTGATGATGGAGGAGGTCGATTTGGTGGTCCAGCTGGGACGGGCGTGAATTTGCCAGTGAAAGCTTCGTTCAGCCTCGACCAGAACCGTTAACGGTGGCGCCCGTGGGCGTTGTTACCTCGTTAGAGGCGTTGTGGGTGATTCACGCTCCATGTATGCCCGGGGGAAACACCAGTTTCAGGCTTCTCGGATCGGATGATTGCGAGGTTCCTTCGTCGACATCCCCATGGGGAAACCCGCAAAAAAAAGACATCCCCATGGGGCATCATCTTCGGGATTGTACATCAGCTGGAGGGACAAATGTTTTGCTTGGTGGCGGGGCGCAGGTCTCCGTATGCTTCTCGTGCTGTGACCAAGGTGAAGAGGCGTGCCATCTACAGTATCGATGACGGCTAGCCTCGGCGCTGGATACCGTTTGATGGACACGCGTAGGAGGCTGGAGTTGTTCTGCGTCGTGGTGGCGTCGATGGCAGAAGGGTTTGGCAAGATCAGTGCATTGATTTCTCTTGAAGATGAGACCGCGGAAGAAGGCAGTGACGGATTCTACAGCGTGCGCATGCGGTGCATGCTGAGGGTCTGGTTGGTGCTCCCGGCTAATCGGCGGGCGACTTGGTGAGGCCACCGGATTTCTTGGTGTGCATGGCGCGAGGTCATGGCACATAATCAATCTTGTAGGTAGGGCGACAATTTTCGCCAGGAAGGTGTCTGTGTTTTTTTTAGAAAAGGAAGGTGGCATTGGGTTGATCTATATATTTATTTTGTAAGACCTTGTTGACTAATGCAATAAAGATGGTTGTGTACATTGCGCAATGCAGAGGCCGGAGTAATTCTCCTTTTCAGAAAAAGACATTCCTGGTCCAAACTCTAAAAATTAGGCTCTAGGCACAAAATAGTACTCCCCTTGTGTTTGAAAAGAAGGCCTATAAATTTTGTTTGAAGTTAAGCAGTGCAAAGTTTGATCAAATTTATAGGGAAAAACTATAAACATCTATAACACCAATTTACCACAATTAAATGCACACTAAAATTTATTTTCGTATTATATGTATTTAGTAGTGTAGCTGTTGATAGTTTTTCCTATAAATTTGGTCAAGCTTTACACAGTTTTGCTTCGGACAAAATTTATAGGCCCTGTCAATCACGAAGGGCAGCCACCTGCTTAGCACGGGATGATGGAGTCCAATGGCAAAATATGGTTTCCTGGAGGAGCAAAAGTCTCTATTTTTTCCAATCTATAGTACCACAAAAAACTCTCTTCACA